GGATTAACAGTCTAATACTATTAAGGTGTTTGTCAGTAATTACTAGACATGGATCTACAACAGTCTAATACTATTAAGTTGTTAACCTATACACCTTTAATTATCACTAACTCTAGTCAGATAGAAAGGTGAAAGGCAAGACTGACAGTCCTAATGTGCCTCTTAAGCACTGCCTAGTACAGTAAGCTTTAAGTTGATTTCTCGGCATTTCTTCAGTTTCATCCAGCCAGTTTTGTAAAATGTAGATGTATAAATCATTTTAATATGTTCTTTCTAAACTTACTTTACCATTAACAACTTCTCACTTAAAACCTTATATTTTGTATACTTGTGAAGTTCTTAATTATCTTTACATTTTTCACACTGATGATGAAACTAGAAAAAAATTCTGGAACATGTGTAATTAGATTTTTTCATACTACTGTTATTTTAATATTTCTTGTGAATAATTAAATTTCCACCTTATGAATCACCTTAATCTAAACAAAAAATGTCAGCTAGTGCCATCACAAGTTTTCTTGCCAACTATAAACATTGTACTGTTTTTGTTTTTTAGGATCAGCAAGAATTTATTTTCTCATAATTATGTATTATCTGTGGCAAGTTTTTACTGGTTTTATTTAATGACAATTATTTTTAACAAAAAATTTGTAGGAAAACCTATGGAATGGTATTAGTCATATTTTTTAGCTTTTTACAGGTTTCATACTACATTATGTGTAAATTTTCATGTAAAACTGTTTTGGATTAAAAAAGTGACTTAATTCTAATTTTCTGCACCTGAAAATTTGTATCATATTAAATGAAGTCTAATTAAAAAATATCTTTCAAAAAATTCAAAATTGGAAGATTAGATCTTGTATGAAAATAATCAATCAATTAGTTGAACTTGATTGATTAATGAGCCCAACAATTAATTAAGTAGCAAAGAATGCTAATTGTTGAGCTTTGAGTGATGCTTTTCTAAAAGGTGAGGTTCAGGGTCATAAATATATACAACTTGTATAAGGAAGCAGGTCTATTGTACTTAAATTCTAAGACGATAAAACATTATTTTTAATGTTTCTTCAAAACAATGTCTAACAACAAAATTTTAAAAGTTTCACAATCTAAAAATGATAAATATTGAATTACATTATGTAAACTTTTTAAAACCAAAGCTAGATATTATTTGGTAAGCGCGTCCAAAGTTGCAATTTGATTATCTATCACAAATATTAGAAGAAAAAAATCATGGGATATCAGTAATATTCCAGACAGCATTAACAATTTCCTATGGAGATTATCATTTGTAACTATCCTAGAAATGAGGTCCAATTTCAATTAGAATTTGAAATTACTATTTAGTTTACTTATGGTCAGAACACCATTTCATACCATGAAGGCTGAAGCACCTACAGTCAAAGTACTGACTGACATAAATACTTGTAAAGAATGCATGAAGAAACAACAGCAGGAATTGAATATTTAGTTAAATGGTAAAAGACAAAGATATTTTCCATTTTTTTTGTGTCGTGAACAAACATATTTTGGTTGTGCTGGAATTACTTGCATATTTTTACCATCTCGTCATCTAGATGCTCAAGTTTGTGCCCATTTTCATAGAGAATTTTCTATCCAAAAGACACATAGGTGGATTGATAGATAAAAGCCTGCCACTTGGTGAGGTGGGAGAAAGTCTGGCACAGTTGCCTAAATGAGGATGCCTGGCTCACAGCTGTACCATTTTAAAGTGACAACAAATGTTAAGCTTTAATTAGTTAACCCTTCCATTATGGGCTGGGTAGAATCCACCCAGCCAATGACCACTACAGTATCTATGAGAGTAATTATACTATGATTTTTTATAATGTATGCACGTCTTTACAACATTTTGCATGTTATTGGTAAACATTACAAGGTTTTTGTACACAAAATATCAGGTGTTTAAATTAAGTATTACAAACTTATAATTAAAGATTTTCTCATAGATTTTTCTTGACTATCCAACATGCAAAGCAATTTATTTTAAGATTAAAATACTTTAATGAATTAGATCATTTTCAAATTTCACAGGTGAAATCTTTATAATCTCCAAATAATTATCAAATTCTGTTTAGAAAAAAAACTATATTTTATTTGCTATTTTCACTACTGTATTTCTGTACGGGTTGGGTCAATTTGACCAACTTTATAACTTCAATAAAAAATTAGGAAAAAAATATAAATTATGCTTTTTTCATTCCAGAATGCCTACAAATTATAACATGAAAACACAAATGTGTTGTCTAAATAGCTTAAATCTCATAACATTATACATTTATATATATTTATTATATTGACCTTCCAGTCAGGACTGGTTAACAATACAAAAGTTTCAATGACATGGAGCATGTGCACTCATGTTACCGTATCCAATAATATAAAACTGACCTTACTCTTTACAAAGTGACCTGTCTTGGCTGTGTTTTAGTGGACTAGTATCTTGTAAAATATTGTCACATTTCAATTATTATACATTATTACTATTTAACAGTAAGTTCATAAACTTATTTTTCTTAAAACATAGAACAGTAAAGAAAGAAGTGAAGCAAACAATTATCTCTTCTAGTTACGACCTCTGTACTCATTGCTGCTTGCTGTAGGTTGCTAAGCCTTATGAAATTTCACACATGGAGGATGTGAAAAGAAAATGTTTCTTAGATTTTATAAATACATTTTAAATAACCAAAAAAAATCATAAAGTACAATATCAATAGCTATAATTTATCAAGCTTAGTAACTAAGATGTATTTGGGTCTAAAAAAATATGAAATTGAGTTTACTGAAACTAACCTTATTGTTTGAAATCTGGTGTGAAAAGAACAAAATTAACACAATAACATTCTGAGCTTTTGATTTGTTATTCATGCCATATATAGAAGTAAGTGTATATATAAGTATTCTTAATCTTAATATAAAATTCACTTTGCACTCAGGGCACTTAACACTGACACCATATAATTAAACAGAAAGTCTTAGTAAAAATACTCAATAAAAACTTCCAATTTTTTATCAACAAAATACTTTTAAAGGGTTAAAAAGCATCTACTTTTTCTGGTTTGGTTTGTTTTTAATTTCATGAAAAGCTACATAAAAGCTATCTGCACTAGCTGTCCCTAATTCAACAGTGATATACTAGAGGGAAGGCAGCTAGACATCACCACACACCCTTGGGCTACTCTTTTACCAACTAATAGTGGAATTGACTGTCGCATTATAATGCTACCATGACAGAAAAGGCAAGCATGTTTGGTGATGGGGATTTGAACCCATCACCTTCAGACTAGGAGTCAAGCACCTTAACCACCTGTACACGACTTTTTCTGAAGAAGTGTAAATTGAATTGTTTGACCACTGTTCAGCTACGATAATTCAATTTTAATTTATTCCAATGTACAGTGCATTATGATCAACTAGCCAGAATAGAGTTGCTTTTTTCTTTTTCAGATAGCCACTTTTAAAATATCTTTACAAAATGCAACTGTTAATTTTGAACCCCTATTTACCCATTCCATAATTCTATTTGATTATGTACTTCTCACCTGTGTAAAATTAATTTTCTGATATTTCTTAGTCTATTACAAATCTTCACATTCTTATAATTTTTTTATATTTGACAATCAATATGATTTTAGGGAATCATTTACAAAATCTTAAGGAATTACAACACTGTATTTTTAATATTTCATAAAAAATATTGCAACTGCCTCACCTTTGTCAAGACATCAAGATGCGATACGGCTTTCCTTTCTTGCATCTTACAGACCAATTCCTCAATACTCGTTACTTTTCCAACACACTGAACTATTTCCAAACTGGTTGATTCTTCACAGTAGGCAGAATCCCAGATGGCACATTTCTCATTCCACTGGACTGGTATTGAAAGTTCGTTCTTCAAAACCAACGACTGCAATGAATTTCCATTCCTATCCTGTTTTATTACATTATCTTCCAAATAAGTTTCAGGTTCAAAATTTTGCTTTTCTACCTGATCATTTAAAGTAACCTGACTACTGGTATCACAACATTCATCTGTAATTTCAAGTTCCAATGTGTTCTGTCTAGAAAACCTATCAACAGACCCTTGGAAACCACTTTCAGCTGAGCTAAAGAAAGATGATGCACCATGAGATATGAAAGAGCTTTCATTTGAGAGTGGACTAACCAGACTATAACCACCAACCACCTCTTGTGGAACAGAACAATGGATACTTTTATCTTCAAGGTAAGAATTAAATGTCTGACTTCGAATCAGTAGTTTTTTCTGAAATTTAGGTGATCTTTTGTATGCAATTGCTAGCTGTATTTGTTTTGCTAAAAGCCCAGACGGAGTACTCATTGACCTTGTCTTTTTTTTAATTGCACTATCAGTTACATCACATGATTCGGATTTACTAATATTCTTCTTATAACTCCTGTTATCATTCTCGTTTATGTTTAACTGGCCTTCTAAGATTAATTTACTTCTTTCCGAAAAGACCATTTTGTCTGAAAAGTTTTTATCTGTTTCAAAAGTTTCAACAGTTGAATTTTTTTCAACTTCTGGGAGACAGCAAGAGTCCCATTCTAAACTCTGAGGTCCTTTGTTGAACCTATCATCATTACAAGGTGAATCTGAGTCCAAAGAGTTACCAAAATCACTCCCACTATCAATAAATACCCCATCATAATTTGAAGGAAGATGTAGAGACTGTGAAATACCTGAAGGTAATTCTTTGGAGAGTTTAGAAATTAATCTTTTGTACCTTGATAATGGAAAGTTTGGAATGTCATCAACAGGTTGATCTATTGGCAGTGATGCATCAGAACCAAGGTCAGTTCTTTGAGAATCACGATTATCTTCAGGTGGCGGTTTCTGGGTCTCAATGTTAAATGATGTCTGTGGGGATTCTACATCTCTCAACAATCCTCTGTACCAAATCTTGGCTTTGTGCAAATTAATCACATCAAGCACACCACTATTTCCACTCTCACAGGAAACCTGTTCAAGTTCGTTGAGTGGCACACTAGTAATTTCCCAAATATGCTGTGGAGGTTGGCGATATACTTTCATGCTTACCACATCTGCATCCAACTCCAATACAGCTTCTTTAAGTTCATTAAGTTGACTCTGTAGTTTATCTAATTTTTCTACAGTAGACAACCCAATGTCATCAGCACTGGACTGTACATCCAAACTGAACTCGGAGTATTCACTATCTATCGATATATCTCGCCACAGTTTATCAGTCCGAGAATTACTTCTACCAAATCTATCAGACAATTGAGAACTACTTCTTTTGAATATGTCTGAGAAACTGCTGAGACTCTCTCCAGAGAAATCCCTTCTTAAGTGTCCTCCTTGAGCATTGGATACCAACATACTAGCACTTCCACTCAAGTTTTCTTCTTGATTTATGTACTCTGATATACCATAGTTCCCTTTTTTTTCGAACATGAAGTTTCTCTCTCTCAGAGAATGGGGACTAAAATTTCCCTTCAAAGAGCCAGCATCCTGAGACCAAAAACTGCTATCAAGGAACAAAGAACCACAATCCTGTTCAACTGGATTAGAATCACTCCAAGAATGAGTAAGTGGTAGGATCTTGTCAACATCAGCATCTTCACCAAGCTGGATTCCTTCAATACTCTCCTCAAAAGGAAAGAAAGATTTGGGAGACTCTAAAGATCCCTCTTTTTGTTGTGAAGACAAGAACTGTCCACCTTCCTCTTCCAGGTCGATTGATGATTTTTTTTTGAATGAATTTCTCTTCTTATATCTTGTTTTAATAGGATGCATTTTTGAAGAATTAGGACTATGTGAAATACCATTACTACTCTCACTAAATGCATTACTTTGGTCATCAGATGTTGATTGGAATGGGTGGATTTTATGAAAATGGACCCCAGAGGTTTTGTTAAAAGCAACAGGTTCATACTGGTTACTTGATGTGATACCCATCACGCTCTCTTCATCTGTAAGGTCATTTGATGAAGTGTCCTATGCAATAGTTGAACAGAAAAAATATAATAATAAACTGAAAATTGCAATCTTTCAATGTTCAAATTATATACATCTTTTGTAAATGAAAACATTTAAGTTCCTACCAAAATTAATAGATACTTTTCAAAAAAGAACAAAATATATACATTCTGTTGTACTTGAACAAGGTTTTCTGGTACGAACTGATTAAGACCGAATATTAATTGAATATAGTACGGTTTGAAATATTTAGCAAATTTTTAGACAGTACTTTCACACAATAAAGTGTATCAATAATACTGACAGGTCAAACCAGAGTAACAGTACCTGTAAGATTAATCTGTAAAATACATTCATACTTCACATAATTTTTATTTTACAGTGTTTCATTATTATATTTTCTGTATATTACCGAGAAATAAAAGCACTATATAACAATGATGTGTTAATACAAAACAACTGCCAGCTCTGTCACTATTAATAAATTTTTCTATTTAATCAAATATTGTAAACTGGTAATCTTAGATACTGGTGAGCAAATTTTACATGTATTGTACATAGAAAAGTTTACAGATTAATGTAAAGACAGCACTCTCTGTATTTAAGATAATGCTATTCTTGCCACAGATTAAATACATAAATATTTTAATAATCGTTAGTATTAAGTACAGTACAAAAGTAAGGAAGACTTCTTCATATCACTAAACTACAACTGTTCTGTATGACTGACATATCAAGTAAGAAGTTTAAAATCTCTATTAAAAGATTTATTATACATATATAAGAAATAATAACATTCTAAATCAGTATTATAATAAAAATAGCTTGTGTAAAAGGAAAACAGATAGATAAATGTGAAATGCACATAACGATTTCAACCTGCGAGTTTATTTTAGTTGGTCTAATTCAGTAATACTATTTCCTAAAAATAAAATTATTATTTAAAACAGATATACTCTATTAACTAGTTAGCTTAATTCTTCTGTTATTAATGCATCATTCTTCCTGTACAATCTGCAATGAGTTGGTTTAACATGAAGTTATACTTTATTGTTGAAATTACACTTGACAAAAACTTAACATGGCAGGAATTTTCTTTGAAGGAAGAGAAAACAACATTGTAATTGCCTGCTCTTCCCAACAGGGGGTGTTCAGAAACAATCATTCTCCTTCAACCCCACGCGTGAAATTTTTTTCCATTACTGTTTTTCTTTTCGTGGATTTATTTCTTACAATTGTGTAATTAGCAGAAAGCTGTGAGGAAGGCCAGAGAGGATGCAAAGATCTTGACATTAAAGGACTTCTTGTTCATCATGTCTGGTGGTTTCATTCCACTTGAAGATGTAGTGCAGTGATGGACACAGACATAGACCATAACCAAAAACACCGGTTCCAGCTGTGTACTGACCAAAAACACCGGTTCCAGCTGTGTACTGACCAAAAACACCGGTTCCAGCTGTGTATTGACCAAAAACACCGGTTCCAGCTGTGTATTGACCAAAAACACCGGTTCCAGCTGTGTATTGACCAAAAACACCGGTTCCAGCTGTGTATTGACCAAAAACACCGGTTCCAGCTGTGTATTGACCAAAAACACCGGTTCCAGCGTGTATTGACCAAAAACACCAGTTCCAGCGTGTATTGACCAAAAACACTGGTTCCAGCGTGTATTGACCAAAAACACCAGTTCCAACTTGTATTGTTTTGAAAATTATACTTAAAATTTAAAGATGTTGAAATTATGATTTACAAAGATTAAACCATTAAGAGATAGAGGCTCTTTTCAGGTGGGCTGAGACCATGGAGTCCAACGTCCAGAATAATTTAGATGTGGGGATAAAACTGGAGTACTCGGAGAAAACCCACTTTCACAGGACAGACACTGAATAATCTATCTGTCCTGTGCCCTGCCATTTTTATCAAAGTAATAATTTTGTCACAATCTTAACCATATTTATCACATACAGAATAAAAACAATTGAGTAATTGAACATCAATGTCTTCTTGATTCACCTCAGTTGAGCTTGTCATATGTGTTAATAATTGTGTGAAGGGTCTGACAAACTTAAAAATTGCTGACAAATGGAATAAATGTAGGGGCCCAATAACTTTTTTTATGCAGGGGACCCATCATTTGTAGTTATGCCACTGCATGTATTGTTTTTAATTTTCACTCTTCCACATACCAGAGTAAAAATGGCAGTTTCTTTATTGTGAACTCATTAAGGCAACTTCGAAGGTTGTACGTACAAGTAACATTATTGCTCAATAACTAAGCCTAATTCTCTATTAGCTGCATTATATTGTACCCTGGCAATAATGCAAGTTGAAATACTGGTATATTAAAATTTTCTAAACATGAAAGTCACTTCTCTTTTATCAAAATAATTTATTTCAGTTAGCACTTTGCACATTAAAAAATGCTGGTAATCCTGCAATTTTCATTCACTAGTTTTGTAAAAAAAAACACAAATGGCAACACTGTCGATTTATAGCATAAAGACCAAACTATGTGTGAAAATGTCAGTAAGGCTTAATTTCTACTCTTTGTCCAGTTTTAACTTGGACAGAGCATTTTTACTATTTAACTTCAATGCCATACACTATGTTGTAAAAAAACAATATTATCTATTATTATACATCTATGGTGCAATATGTTTTTAAACTAAGTATAACTGTAAGACTTCATAAAGACATGAGTACCACCAACAAAATGTAAATATTTGTCATATCCTTGGCAAAAGTATTCAGGTGCTTAATACAGAAATATTAAAAAAATAAAAACACTTTCCACATATGCATCAAAAGTACTTACCTGGTCACCAGGTGCACTGTTTGTGTCTACTTTTGATGAATGAGATGTTTCGCTAATGTCAGACTCTTCACAGAAAAAATCCTTTGGACCAAAGTATTTACTCTGGAATTAAGTATATAATTCTTCACTTAGAAATTTCTATGTTCTGTAATATATAGCCAAAATTGTTTTTAAAAAATTGTCTTACACAGTACTTCACGTAATGTTTCTGTAAGGAGTAATCATTCCCAGAATTCTGTCAGTGGGAGTAATTTTACATTTTTTACAAAGTGCAGCAGAAACATTTTGTGATAAAAAGTAATTTAATTAATTATGAATAATTTTATTATTTCAAAAGGTGAAATTTAACAAATTAAATCACCAGAAGTAGTCATGATGAACTCAAATAATGACACTACAACCTTTAATTTTTACACTAAACTTATAGGTCTATTAAAGCATAAAAGTACAAGTTTTTTTTTCCATTTGTTAAGCAGGCTAATCAAAGTGCTTTAAGAAAATCAGAAGTTAAGGGTTTGCACACAAAATATATAGGCCTATACAGTATTAAAACACTTATCATACAGTGCATGCTTTTTCGTTTATTGGTAATCCAAGCAGTCTTAGAAAATCATAAGTTAAGCGCCACCTAGAGAAATCATAATAAACATTCAGCTCAAAAATTTAATTAAAACAATAATAAAACTAACATGTTTTAACAGCCATCAAACTTTGTTTTAGTAACAGCAATGATCTTTCTGTTTTAAAATACTGTTGT